TTGAGAGAGAGCGAGAGAGCATGGGGGAGGGGCAGAGAGAGAGAGAATCTTAATCAGGCTCTGCAGCTGTCAGCACAGAGCCCAACACATAGCTCGACCTCACAAATCATGAGATCATGACCTGAGCTGAAATCAAGAGCTTGACGCTTAACCAACTGAGCACCCAGGCGCCCCCACAACAAAAAAGTTTTAAATGTTATTAGCAGGCGAATCCAAATGGCCAATAAACAACTCTTTAGCCTAAGCAGTAGCCAGAGCATGCAAATTAAAGCAAGAATGAAAGTCCATTTTTCACTGAAGGTGCTGATTGGAATAGGGTGGGAGGGGTTTCCAGTGAGGAAGATGAAGACTGCAGATGACATGAATAGGTATTTCTCTCTCTCTCTCTTTCACACACACAATAAATGGAAAAAAAATAAATCACAGTAATAATAAATACAAATTAATGTTTTTAATGTTTATTTATTTTTGAGAAAGAGAGAGACAGAGTGTGAGCAGGGGAGGGGCAGAGGGAGAGGGAGACACAGAATCCGAAGCAGGCTCCAGGCTCTGAGCTGTCAGCACAGAGCCCAATGCGGGGCTCGAATCCACAAGCTGTGAGACCATGACCTGAGCTGAAGGTGCCCCAAGAAATAAAAATTAAATGTCACTTTTCATGTATCTAATTTGCAAAGATTTCTATAAATAATAACGCCTAGTGTTCTGTAGGTGAGGGTATGAACACATATATGCTGCTGGAGGAAACACAAGATAGTGGAACCTTCTGGAAATCGATATATCAAAAAACTTGCATATGTACGTATCCCTGGACTCTGCAATTCCATGTGTATGCATTTATTCTCAAGAACTAGAAACTGGGAGGCACCTGTGGGGCTCAGTCGGTTAAGAATTTGACTCTTGGTTTCTGCTCAGGTCATGATCTTGCATGGCAGGGGCTCTCACGGGTCAGGCTCTGCACTGGCAGTGTGGAGCCTGCTTGGGATTCTCTCTCCCCCTTCCTCTCTGCTCCTCCCCACCGCCCATGCTGTCTCTGTCTCTCTCAAAGTAAATACATAAACTTAAAAAAAAATAAAAGAAATAGAAACTGCTACAACCATGGATAGATAGATGTTTGATGGGTAGCGCTGATTAGAGGGAAATACAGCAGTGATCTCCTAACTATGATTTTTCACCCATATATATACATATATATTCAGGTGAAAAAAAAAATATATATATATATATGAGAGAGAGTATGCGTGAATGAGGGGGACGGGCAGAGGAAGAGAAAGAATCCAAAACATGGATTCTTGGCCCCATGCCCAGGACAGAGCTTGATGGGGGCTCCAGCCCATGACCCTGAGATCATGACCTGAGCCAAAGAATCAGATCTGACCCTCAGATCATGACCTGAGATCATGACCTGACTGAGCCACCGAGGCACCCCTTAATAATAACATAATGTATGTTTGAGTGCTAATATATATATTCTAAAACATCCACAGAAAATAAATTTTAAAAGGATACGTTAAAATCCCAACATCTTCTTCCCACATACCAACAGAGCATTTTCTGGAGGGTACTTACCTTACCCTGGAGACCACCTATCTCGTCTGTTGGTGGTAAAAAGCATCAGGGTGTAAGGTCAGTGAATTCTGTGAAAAGTGACCCTTGTGTCAAACCTCATGGAGAGACAAGGCAGAACGGGATGGAACAGTCACCAGAACTAGAGAATGTTTATGTTCTTGGGACCACAAGAGGTTGGGGAACAAAAATAGAGCTCTAGTTTGATCAGAGCTCTTGGTCTTGGTCACGGTCAAGGCCGAATCCTGCGTGTACCCCCCGTGCCGTTCTCACCCCTGCCAGTGGGGCTCCCGTCCCATGCTGATATTATAAGAAAAATCCACATGGAAGTGGAGTCGACAGTAATTAAAACCTGAATAACATGTGATCTAATTAAGTGCACGTGGGAAAAGGTCTGAGGCATTTGGAAGAGGCAAGGTCATAAAGGAAAGAATTCTAGTGATCTGCAATGGCAAGTTCTTGCAGTCTCTAGAACCATTTCCTTCCTCTATTGAACGCAGAACATAGACAACAAAGATCCTCAAATACACAAATATAGAAAGATGCACGGAAAAGGATGTTTATTGCCAATACTCACCAAAAGGAAAAGCGGAAAACCCAACTTTCCATGAAAAAAAAAAGTTAAATAAACAATATCCATTCTGTGCAATTCTTTTTACTATTAATATTTTTGATGTTTTTTTAATTTTTGAGAGACAGAGAGAGAGAGAGAGAGACAGAGCGTGAGTGGGAGAGAGAGACACAGAATCCGAAGCAGGTTCCAGGCTCTGAGCTGTCAGCACAGACCCCAATGCGGGGCTCGAACTCACAGACCGCGAGATCATGACCTGAGCCGAAGTCAGATGCTTAACCCACTGAGCCACCCAGGCACCCCCTTTCTGTGCAATTCTATGTCACAGTCAATAATGAGGATATGTATATTGATATGAAGAGGTCAAGATATCCTTAAAAATGCAAGCTGCAGAAAAGGTGCAGTGTGGCACCACTAATGTTTTGCAGGATACACAAAATTATGTTTCTATATAACATTGCAATAGGAAGGGTAGATCAGGCACTCATGTTTTACCTGTGTAATTTCTTACCAGCGCCTTCCAGCCTTACAGTGAACATGCTGTCCGCCAGCCTGGAAGAGGTGGTGAGCCTACGGAACACCAGTCCCTCTGCATTTCCTCTCCCTGTTCCTTCTCCCGGTCTAGTCTCCCTCACGAGTCACTTCATGATTAATCTCCCTAGACAAAGAGCAAATGTTTATTAAGCATGTGCCATTATGAATATACTCAGGATTTGGTAACGAAAGGAATGCTCTAGGGAAGTTGATCTGATTACAACAAGCAGCAATGCGAAGCGAGGCGGGTCGGGGGACAGGGGAACCAGTCAAGAGACTCCGTAACGGGCCAGGCATTACTCATCCTGTTCAAAGCTGTTTGGGGGTTCCCAATGACAATAAAATAAAGGCCAAATTCCTGAGCTTAATATCCAACACTGTCCACAGGCTGGCTTCCAACATGTTTTTCTGATTCCTTCTATTACTTCCTCCCATTGGAAGCCTCCAGTCCAGTCTGGCTTTACTCTGGGTCCCTACCTCTGTTCACACAGTTACTTTTCCATTCTACCTTCCTAAATGTTGCTTCATTTAAAAATACAGACTCAGTTGGGGCGCCTGGGTGGCTTAGTTGGTTAAGTGACCGACTTCGGCTCAGGTCATGATCTTGCGGTTTGTGAGTTTGAGCCCCGCGTCGGGCTCTGTGCTGACAGCTCGGAGCCTGGAGCCTACTTCGGATTCTGTGTCTCCCCCTGTCTCTACCCCTCCCCTGCTCACGCTCTGTGTCTGTCTCTCAATAATACACTTGATCTTAGCCAAAAGGCCGAGAAGCGATGTCTCTCAATAATAAATAAACGTTTAAAAAAAAAATACAGACTCAGGGTGCCTGGGTGGCTCAGTCGGTTAAGCGTCCGACTTTGGCTCAGGTCATATCTCACAGTTTGTGAGTTCGAGCCCCACACTGAGCTCTGTGCTGTCAGGACAGAGACTGCTTCAGATCCTTTGTCCCCCTCTATCTCTGCCCCCACCCCACTCATGCTCTTTCAAACATAAGCATTTAAGAAATTGTAAATAGGGGCACCTGGGTGGCTCACTCGGTTGGGCATCCGGTTTCAGCTCAGGTCATGATCTCACAGCTCGTGAGTTCAAGCCCCATGTCAGGCTCTGTGCTGACAACTCAGAGCCTGGAGCCTGCTTTGGATTCTGTGTCTCCCTCTCTCTCTGCCCCTACCCTGCTCGCATGGTCTCTCTCTCAGAAATAAACATTTTAAAAAGTTGTAAATAAACAATAATATATATATGTGTGTGTATATATGTATGTGTATACACAAACACATACATATATATAGAGAGAGAGACTCAAAGTTGTTCTTTAATGTGTACAGAGATTCAGTTTTGCCAGATGAAAAGTTCTAGAAATTGGTTGCACAACAACGTGAATGGACTTAACACTGCTAAACTGGACACTTGAAAATGATTAAGAGGGGCGCCTGGGTGGCGCAGTCGGTTAAGCGTCCGACTTCAGCCAGGTCACGATCTCGCGGTCCGTGAGTTCGAGCCCCGCGTCGGGCTCTGGGCTGATGGCTCAGAGCCTGGAGCCTGTTTCTGATTCTGTGTCTCCCTCTCTCTCTGCCCCTCCCCCGTTCATGCTCTGTCTCTCTCTGTCCCCAAAATAAATAAAACGTAAGAAAAAAAAAATTAAAAAAAAAAAAAAAAAAAGAAAATGATTAAGATGTTCGATTTCATGTTATGGGTATTTTACCCCAATTAAAAAAAAAAAAGAAATCAGGGGTGCCTCAGTGGCTCAGTTGGTTGAGCATTCAACTCTTGGTTTCAGCTCAGGTCATGATCTTGTGATTTCATGAGTTTGAGCCCATCACACTGTGCACTGGCAGGGTGGAGCCTGCTTGGGATTCTCTCTCTCCCCCCCTCTCTCTGCCCCTTCCCCATTTGTGCTCTCTCTCAAATAAATGAATAAATTTAAGGAAAAAAAAAAAAGATTCTCTCTCTCCTTCTGCCCCTCCCCCCTTCTAAAATAATCAATCAATCAGCTATTAAATGACTGGCCTCAGAAGCAAAATCAAAGTGCAAAGACAATGATAAACCGCGGCAACTGCTTTCATGTTAAAAATATTTATTTTTCTAAAAGATCACAGAAAAGTTGAGAAGAGAAAGGATACCAACTAGCCTACATCAAAATCTGGGCTGAGGAAGGACAAAGAGCTGCCTAAAGAAACTGGTAGCTGGAGCGAACTGCGAACATCCAGATGGCCGCTGGCCAACGGAGCCGGTGGCCCCAGTCAGCCACATTCACGAGCACCACCGAGGTGCAGCGGGGACAGCAAAGCTGCTGGCCCCCATCGTTCCTCCTTTTCAGGAAGGGCGAAGCAGGAGCTCACTCTTTAGACATGTTCTTGATGGTCTTGTGCTCCTTCATGGCCTTTTCCCAATCGGTGCCATTGAATTCCTCAATGACCACACTCCGCACGGTGCCCTCATCTAGGCAATGGGGGGCGATTCCTAGGGGAGGTGACACAGAAAAAGCAAGGTCCCAGGTGTGAATGACAGCAGGTACTGTGCTGGCTCTTGGACAAACCCACACCCACAAGCGTCGCCGTACCGCCGATCCGTGTACCAACAGCGACACGCTGGTAAAGCTTTGCTTTCCTCACCTCTCAGATGGGGACCAGACTTCCTAAACCAGGGATGCCAAGGTTGGATACCATTCAGTGCCACGCCGAGAGTACAAAGATTCAAGCCTAGAACCATCTGACTGGCAGCCTGAAGAATCCACAGGCCTCTTCCAGGGTTTAGACAGAACTTCCTAAGCATTAAACACCTGCCCACCTTTATAGGATCTTGTACCTTCCGAAAGCCTTTCTTGATTAAGGCAGGCAGGAAGGCCTCTCCACGGGACAGATGAGGAACAAACGGGAGCTGGTGAACAAATGGGGCGGGAAGGACAAGGGTGCTGTCACGCCCCGCCCCCAACCATAAGGCACAAAACCCCGCCACGGTCACAGCAGCCCCACCACAGCTCTGGAGGGCACCAGATCCCAAGGAACACCTGCTGCTTCCCACTCAACTCACACTGCATTTGCGGTCATCCTGAACAAGTGTCCCAAGCTTGCTTCCTCTCCTCAGACCCTAACTGCACCTGAAGAGGGGCTTGGGGATTCTGCTGTGTGTGTTTGAAACAAACGGAGTATTTTAATTTTTTAACATTTTTATTTATTTTTGAGAGATAGAAGACAAAACGTTGAGTCGGGGAGGGGCAGGGAGGGAGACAAAGAATCCGAAGCAGGCTCCAGGCTCCGAGCTGT